TACCCTGGAAAGGGGCTATAATGCTGCAGCTGTCCGTTTGCAGGTGGTGCATTAACCATCCCCTATCTTTCTCATCCTCTGACAGCTGGTCATATGGTATACCCCTTGAGGCCACAGGTGCATGCTGGGAGACAGAAGGCAAGATAGCAGGAGTAAGAGCTATAGGCATGTGGTCAACTTCTTCATGTAACTTACTTGTACCCTCTGGACCTGCACTGGTTTAATCACATATGACCATTTCCATTTATACCCCTTGAGGCCACAGGTGCATGCTGGGAGACAGAAGGCAAGATAGCAGGAGTAGGAGCTATGGGCATGTGGTAAACTTCTTCATGTAACTTACTTGTACCCTCTGGACCTGCACTGGTTTAATCACATATGACCATTTCCATTTAATGGTGGACTGTTGCTCTGCACATCCAACTTTATGACTTGGTGAATTAGATAATACCCAGCTCATGATGGGCTACTCAGGTCACATGGTAACCTGGTGTCCCAAGTTCAAGTGTTCAGTTTCCACTAAGGCCCCGTAGCAGGCCAAGAGCTGTTTTCAAAAGGAGAGTGGCTGTCTGCAGATGATGGCAGAGCATTATTCCAAAATCCTAAAGGCCTCTGCTGCAGTTCATTTATGGAAGCCTGCAGGGGCCCCAAACAGCATCCCTACCTGACACTGACACTTCAAGTACCATTGGATCTGCTGGATCGTATGGCCTCAGGGCAGAGCAGCCTGCACAGCAGCCTATTACAAAGCCTTCTCTTGTTCGGGCCTCACTCAAAACTAGCAGCTTTCCAAGCCACTTAGTAAATGGGCGGGAGTAAGACACCTAAGTGAGGAATGTGTTGCCTCCAAAATCCAAATAGGCCCACTAGGCACTGTTTCTCTTTTTTGGTTATAGGGGGAAACAAACAGAGCCACTTATCTTTTACCTTAAAAGGAATATCTCTACGTGCTCCACACCGCTGGACTCCTAGAATTTTCACTGAGGTATAAGAGCCTTAAATTTTAGTTGGATTTATTTCCCATCCTCCATCTTGCAAATGCTTTACTAAAAAACCTAGAGTGGTTGCTCCCTCCTGCTCACTTGGCTTAATAGCATAATATCATCAATGTCATGGACCAATGTGATGCCTTCTGGGAGAGAAAGACAGTCAAGATCCCCACAAACTAAGTTGTGACACAGGGCTGCAGTTACTATAACCCTGAGGTAGGACAGTGAAGGTGAATGGCTGGCCTTGTCAGCTGAAAGCAAATTGTTTCTGATGGGCCTATAGGTAGGTATGGAGAAGAAAAGCATTTGCCAAATCAATAGCTGCACATCAAGTACCAGGAAATGTGTTAATCAGCACAAGCAAGGAAACCACATCTGGTACAGAAGCTGCAATCAAGAGCTACAACTTGATTCAGTTTACAGTAATCTACCGTCATTCTCCAAGACCCATCCATTTTCTGCACAGACCAAGTGGGAGAATTAAACGGCGATGTGGTGGGGACCACCATGCTGCATCCTTCAAGTCCTTAACAGAGGCACTAATCTCTGCAATTCCTTCAGGATGCTGTTCTTTTTGTTTACAATTTCACCAGGTAAAGGCAAGTCTAATGGCTTCCATTTGGCCTTTCCAACTATAAGAGCCCTGACACTACAGGTTAGGGAACCAGTGTGAGGATTCTGCCAAGTACCAAGTATATCCATCCCAATTATGCATTCTGGAACAGGGTAAATGACTATGGGATGGATTCGAGGACCCACTGGACCCACTATGAGTCGGACCTCTGCTAAAATTCCATTGATCACCTGACCTCCATAGGCCGCTACTCTTACTGGAGGGCCACAGTGATGTTTGGGATCCCCTGGAATCAGTGTTAGTTCAGATCCAATGTCCGATAGTCCCCCAAATGTCTGGACAGGTCCCTCTGGGGAAGGAGGGGAGGAAGACTGACTGTATAAATTTTTAGTAGTGCACCACGGTCCTTCCTCAAAGGAACCCAGGCTACCCTTTATTCAAGGAGCTCTAGGTCTGTAAACTGGCTCAAATCTGGGAATTGTTTGGGCCAGGGATTTAGCTCAGTGGTTTTGCCACTTGCTTCACAAGTACAAGGACCTGAATTTGATCCCAGTAAAAAAAGAAAAAAAAATCTGGGAATTGTTTGAGGAGCCATGATTTCCTGATACTGTGATTTGGAATAGGTTTCTGTTCATTTGCCTTTAAATTGTTTTCATTATATAAATCTAGTAAAAATTTTGTAGGCTTCCTATTCCAGTTTGGGGAACACCATGGCTAATCAGCCTGCACCATAGGTCTACATGTGTCAGACCAGTCTGATCATTGTTCTGCTTCTGTCCATTGTGGTATATATAATGTGCCTTGCCTTTGACCCCTGCCACTTCAGGATCCAACCAGACCCATCACTCTTAAGTTTCTCAGTTGAACGACCATGGTCCCCACTGTGAGGTCTGGCATATCGAGAAGAACAATGACCAGGCTTTTCAGGGATGCTCCCCTTGTGGATTTGTTTCTCAAGGTGTTAGGGAAGGGCACATTTTCTGTATCATCCCAGTGTGGTGGATTAGGTTTAACATGACAGATCTACTCCAGCATTCCTATTTCTCTAAGCCTCTGAATCCCCTCATCAACAGTAAACCACCAAATATCAAGCATCTCTAATTTATTCGCAATGGGCCATCTTTTGATCCATACTTCTGCCAATCAATCTAATAAACTATTGACAACTTTCTTCATGAGCTGCAACATTAAATTCAGAATCTCAACGGCTTATATCCACAAACTCAGCCTGACCCAGGTGTGTGTTTCTGCCACCATTACCCCACACCTGTAAAATCCATTCCCACACTTGCTCATTAGGCCTTTCCTTATAAAAGTTAGAAAACTAAAGCTGGTGTGGTGGTGCATGCCTTTAATCCCAACACTCGGGAGGCTGAGACAGGAGGATTGCTGTGAGTTCGAGACCAGCCTGAGCTATGCAGTGAGTCCCAGGTCAGTCTCACTACATAGTGAGACCCTGTCTCAAAAAAAAACAAAAAACAAAAAAACAAAAACAAGGGCTGGGGATTTACCTCAGTGGTTCTGCTACCTGCCTTGCAAGTGCAAGGTCCTGAGTTCAATCCCCTGTACCAAAAATAAACAAACAAACAAAAAAAGTTAGAAAACTGAAGAAGGGTGGAGGCGATGAAGGGAGGGCAGGGGTATGGGAAAAAATAGGAACCAAGATACATCATGTAAAGGTACAAGATCCCAATGATTAATGTAACTACTGTATACCTAGAAAGTACCAGTAAACAATGAAAAGAATAATTTCTTTTTAAATTAGAAAACTCGAGAAGTTCTTTGGGAGGATAGTAGACCTCCTCATGGGTCACACCATGCACCTCACCCTTAGTAGCCTTCTGGGATTTGAGCCTGGTTATAGGCCTAGAGGTAAAAGTGGGTCCTGAGGAGCGCCAGCATGACCATGCTTGGTCAGCACAGGATTAGTTTCCTCAGGTGTAGTAGGAGAGGCCGACACCACAGGGGGTTGGGGTGGGGATGCCTCTGCCACTGTGGGTAGGGAAATTTCTTCCCCTGGCAAAATAATCTCATTAGAGCCTAGGAGAGCAACATCCTCAGCCTCCCAGGATCCTTCCTAACATCTCCATCCCAGTTTACTGGATCCCATTCTTTTCTGATCAGTGCCCTCACCTTTCCTTCAGATACCCTTCAAGGCTGAGCATTAAATTTATGCTGTATTTCAGCCAGTCCACTCATGAGGGCTTATGTGTGGGTTTCTGCAGTCTCAGCCCTGCAGCTAAAGGCAAGGACATACTTAAAAATGTTTAAATGCTTTATATGTGTCTGCAGCTGGGAATTTGAATCTTTGAGCTCCTTGTTTTCTTTTATTAATTTTTCCTCACAGAAGACTCTAGATTTCCTATGGATGTTTTGAGGTCATTGTTTTCCTTCATTAGTTTGTCCAGAGATGCTAAGAGCAGCCAGCCGGCATCATGTTTCCCACTGTGCCAAAAATATTCAAAAGTACCATATATGGAGTCACTGAATTCCTTGCATCTCACAAGTGGTGAATTAGGTTAATCAAATGGATCTACACTGGGTATTTTAAACAGTTAATACCAAGGATTGTCAGTATTTCCCACATATCAGAAGGAGAGACCATGGCATTCTAGGTCTTATCAAATTAACCAACTCCAGGAACCACTAAAGTCATTAAAGAATTTCATCCTTACAATTCTGTTTCTCTTGAGCCATTCCCAGTACCAAAATCTGTATCAGTCAGCACTTACTAGAGAAACAGGTTTAATACAAGATAAGAAATATATAAGAATTTACAAGACTGACTTACAATAGCCACCCACAGAGTCAGATATGGAGAGTGCAAAAGGAACCTCCCACGGGAGCTGGAGGTGCTCTGACCATCGAACCAAGGCAGTGTCACAGTCCTGCAGGGGCTGGCAGGTTCCCAGCTCCATTCATGTGATGGCTATGGTGCTCTGGAGCCCGGCATATGTCACACACCTCCATCACCTACTTCCGCACTAACTGGGCTCCAGGTTTGCTTACCAGGTACTCTGCCCCTTCCACATCAAGTGGCAGATCCAGCAGGAAGCAGGTTGCTGTGCCTTGCAGGCAGCCTCCACAGGGACTATCTGACAGGTGTGCACAGTGAAGGACATTAGGGGAGGGGCATCTTTAGCATTTTCCTAAACTTTGGCTTGAGCCTCCTGGTGACTGTTTTCCACTGCACCTCCTCTGCCTTCTGGAGAGTAGCTTCCTGCTGTTAGAGCTTCCTCTGTATGGCACAGCGATGCAGGCTCTCTGCTTGTTTCATTGCTCACACTACTGTATTTATCATTCTGAGTGGCATCAGTCACCTCACACGGAGGAGCTGGAGTGCTGAGGAGGCCCCACAAAGCAGAGTCAGAAGCATGGTTGTGGTGAGAGGAATCTTGAGCGGGGCTGTCACTAATGCGGTACCATTGTCCCTCCAGGTTCTCCTCAGAGCAATGCCCTGGCTCTCTGGGAAGCTGAAGTGAGAGGGTCCAGGTACGGGCCCAGCCCGGGCCGGGCAGCATGACCAAGCCCCGGCTCTTTCGGCTGTGGCTGGCGCTGGGCTCTGTCCTCATGGTCCTGCTCATCATCGTGTACTGGGACAACGTGGGCACTGCCCACTTCTACCTGCACACCTCCTTGTCCAGACCCCACGCCCTGGCGCCCCTCCCAACCACCGGGCAGGGGGAGGACGCGGAGTTCACCTCCGATGTGGACGAATTTCTAGATAAGCTGCTCAGTTCTGGCGCAAAGCAAAGCGAGCTTTCCAAGAAAAAGACCAAACAGCCTCCAGCGCTGGCCTCCAGCAAGCCTGCACTGAGTCGCATGGAAGAGAGCGTAAGGGGCTATGACTGGTCCTCCCAGAATGCCCAGCAGCGCTCCGATGCAGGCCTGCAGCAGGCCGAGCGCAGGAGCATGCTGCGCCACTTCTGCGCCAACTCCAGCCTGGCCTTCCCCACCAAAGAGCGCTCCTTTGATGACATCCCCAACTACGAGCTGAACCACCTCATCGTGGACGACCGCCACGGTGTCATCTACTGCTATGTGCCCAAGGTGGCCTGCACCAACTGGAAGCGCGTGATGATCGTGCTGAGCGAGAGCCTGCTGGACCGCGGCGCCCCCTACCGCAACCCGCTGGACATACCGCGCGAGCGCGTGCACAACAGCAGCACGCACCTGACCTTCAACAAGTTCTGGCGCCGCTATGGCAGATTCTCCAGGCACCTCATGAAGATCAAGCTGAAGAAGTACACCAAGTTCCTCTTCGTGCGGGACCCCTTCGTGCGGCTCATCTCGGCCTTCCGCAGCAAGTTCGAGCTGGAGAATGAGGAGTTTTACCGCAAGTTCGCGGCACCCATGCTGCGTCTCTACGCCAACCGCACCAGCCTTCCCGCCTCGGTGAGCGAGGCCTTCAGCGCAGGCCTCAAGGTCACCTTCGCCAACTTCATCCAGTATCTGCTGGATCCCCACACTGAGAAGCTGGCGCCCTTCAACGAGCACTGGCGGCAGGTGTACCGCCTCTGCCACCCATGCCAGATAGACTACGACTTCGTGGGGAAGCTGGAGACGCTGGACGAGGATGCCGCCCAGCTGCTGCAGCTGCTCAAGGTGGATGCGCAGGTCCACTTCCCCCCGAGCTACCGGAACAGAACTGCCAGCAGCTGGGAGGATGACTGGTTCGCCAAGATCCCCCTGGCCTGGCGGCGGCAGCTCTACAAGCTCTACGAGGCAGACTTTGTTCTCTTCGGTTACCCCAAACCTGAACACCTGCTCAGAGACTGAACGTCACTACAACAGCAGTCAGGGGTGTCCCCTCCAGCCCGTGGGGCCCTGCCGGGAACCTGAGTGGGGCGCTGGGGCCAAGCTGTCTCCTTGGCTTCCTTGACCTCTTGCGGAGTGTCACACGCCCTGCTGGGCTTCAGAGAGTCTGTTCACCTCGAGTGCTCAAGGCTTTATACAACCCACAGCTTTGCAGTCTGGGCTTGCTGTTCACTACACAGCCTGTGCTCACTGAGCACTGTGTTGATACTGTTTTCTAAGATTAATATATTTCAGATATTTAATATGAAAGTGGAGGAAAGCCAGAGTAAAGTGTGCAGCTGCGCTCTTGCTGCTCTGTGTTTCTTTGGGTTGGGCACCAAGCACACATGGTGGATGGGGACATTGGTAAATGGGGATCCCAGGCCTCACACCCCACTAGGGGAGGAGGCTTCATGTTGTCTCAGTGGGGAGAAGGAACCTAAATCTGAAAGCAGGGTGTTGTAGTCATTTTTCACAACTGGGCTGGATATTTTATAAAGAAAAGAAGTGTATGAGCTCCTTGTTTGGAGGTTCAGCAGTACGGCACCAGCATCACCTTGGCTCTCATGAGGACTTCAGGGTGGAGGCAATGTCAGGGGTCACATCACCAGATGGGCTGTCAGAGTACAACTGGTGTCCTGTATCTCCTTTCAAGAGCCTGACCCCCTGAACCTCAGGACTCTACCTACGCCCACCGTGGAGGACCAAGCTTCCCACACATAGCTCTCTGGGGGGCACACCCAGACCTCAGCACAGGCCTTGCTTGTATTTTTAAAAGGGTGGCAGGCAAATCCTTTAAAAGTGAAAGCCTTTGTATAGATGATGCATCTGGAAGGTGCAGCCGCCAGGTCTTCTGGGCTTTCTGAGATCAGGTGAGGTCAGGTCAGGTTGTAGAGAAGCTGTCTTTGGGTCAGAGCCACAGAGGAGGCCAGCATCCCTATCCAGCCATCCCTTAGTTACAGCTGTCCCCATCACAGCCAGCAGAAGTGGTGTCACAGGTGTCCCCAGGGTACTGTTACCACAGGTCCATTGTCAACAGGGAGCTCAGGTAACAGGTAGACTAAATGGTTCAGCTCCAGTACCATTTGTCCTCAGGACACAGCTGACCTTGAATGCTCAGGTGTGTGCATGGGAGTGTGGGGGGTGAAGCCCAAAAAGGTGCCTCAGGAGGCCCCTTAAGCACCAAGCCACAGCCTTCTGCGGGCTGACCTTGTAACCACACTTGGCTGCAGAGCTTCTTGCTGTGAGCAGCACACTGGCCTTGTCTTTTCATTCATAGTTTTTGGTCAGCACTTCCCAGTTCCTGGAGTGCTTGGCAGTGCTCTGTTGGGGCATCAACTAAATCTCTGCTATGCAATGTCCCTGCCTGTCCCCAGTTTCCAGGTGGGATAGAGGCTCTGAAGTCTGTGGCTGCTGGGTGACCCTGGACTCCGTCTCCTCCATACTGAAAATCATCACCTTCCTTTGGTGGCTGTTGAAGTGAATGCTAGCCACATTCACTCGCCCACCCAGTTCTTATGCAAGGCTACCACCTGGGCCCAGGGGTGTGATGGCAGACAAGGTCCCCAGGCCGTGAGAGATGAGCTCCGGAAGAGGGGCCACCCCACTCTACTGGAGGGAAGATATCATTTCCTCTGATTCTCTGTCACGTCTCTGGCCCACAGTATAGTAGCCTGCACAGAAATCTGACTGTTGTTTCTCTACCAAAATAAAACAATTTAAAAAATAGTAAATTAGATAATTTAACCAAACAATCTCAGAGCAGAAATGTTTAACTGTACTTACATCTGTCGTGGAGCCTGTGTCACCTTCTGTACTGCAGTCAGCAGCCTGGGTCTGAACACTGCATCGTGGTGCACAGAAGCCCATCTGGCAGGTCTCCATCGAGCCCCTAACTGAGCAGCCACAGAGCTGGCCGGGCCTGCTGACAGCCAGCAGAAATCTGTGCCAGGAGGAGCCTCCACCCCACCTTCATGCTGCATCTCCCACTCTATCCAGCTCTGGCCCAGAGAGCTTGTGGCCAGCTGTGCCCCACCTAGAAGCACCATCCTGAGACTCAGAGCATCAGGGAAGGAATTAGGGCAGGGGATAGAGGCACATAGACCTCCAGCTGATTCAAGTTCCTGAACCTAGATTCACCTACACTTTCCAGGTGTGGGGACTGGTAAGTATCCACTTGCTTAAGCTAAGGTGAATTGGATTTGTGGCATTTAACAAGATCCTGACTCACCCATTAGTTTGTTAATTAAGGTATTGGCATTTGATGAACTAGGATTGAAGACATTGCATTAATGGAGAGTCACGTGACCTCTGAGGACACAGGTCAGCATTCCCTGGGGCACTGGTGATTTATTAGTATTCTGAAATAGTATAAATATTCTCTTATTCTACCAAGACCCAATGATGGGGACGAGGTATCCCCCGGTTTAGACCAGCAGAGACTAATCAGAGATTGTGAGAGATTTTCCTCCTTGTGAATTCCTGCATCACTGAGAAGGAAGCTGGTGAGGACGCAATATGTGGTCAGAGGCCTAGATGATTCAGTGTGGTGCCATCTCGAGAGCCGTTGTTCTCCATGATGGTAGCATCACGCCTGTCTGACAAGGTCTGCTGGCTGATGTTGATAGTGATGAATGGATACAGCCTCGCTTCTTTCTGCTCTTTGCATCTTCAGACAGGGCTGTGGGTGCTGGCAGGAGCTGGCAGAGGGCAGGACTGTAGTGATGCACAGAGGTTTGAGAAGTAGGCTTGGAAAGCCTTCCCTGGCCCAGGTCTCTGGGTGGAGCTGAATCTGAACCAGGACCTGAACCTGCACGTTAGGGACTGCCTCCCTCACACAAGCCCAGGCTGGAGTCAGAGCTACCCTGGGGTTTGACTAGAAGGGTCCTCAGCTGGGTGGGCAGTGCTCAGGCCTGTGCCTAGCCTGAGGTGCCTGCAGCACAAGGAGCTATGAACCAGCTGGTGAGCTGGCATTCCTTATTTATAGTTACCTTCTTCAGATGGGAATGCATCAACACACCAGTAGATTTTTGTGCATTGAAAACACAAAAGAGCTTCACACTCAGGTCCATCTGGTAGAATTTAAAGGACAACCTAGAAACTGGTACTGTTCTGTCTCCTGCATTTGTCTTGGGTGGGGTTTCTGCAGGGTATGAGATTTCTACCTCACACCTGGTCTTATGTCAGTGTCTAGAAGTACCCTGAAATCCTTTGATAAAGGCAGGGAGGCCTGGTTTTGTTTTGTTTCGTTTTTTTTTTCCTTCTCTAAATATGGTCTAAAAACTCAGTTGTGCCTTTCTGGGTTCTGGACAATATTCTGTTTCAAAGGTTCAAAGCATGGAGCCCTGAGCTAAGTAAATCCCTAGACCTTGCTCCTTGGAGGCTGACCCTGCCCTCTGAAGAATTCTCACAGGGCCTGCAGTGGGCAGGCCAGAGTAAAGGCAAGAGAGAGTGAGTGGGTGTGGCCTCATTAGTATCAGGCCCTCCCAGATGTAGAAAGCAGTACAGCTGTTCTTGCACATTGAGAAATAGTTGTTTTCACTGCGTAAAATAATGATTTTTAAAAAGCCATTGTATTTTATTATTACATGGCAGGCCCTTCTGTCTAGGGAAGGGACTTCTCAGAGTAAAAAAGTTGATCCTGTAAGAACATTTCCTTGGATGAACTGGGACCGGTAGTGGGGATGGCTTCCCTTGGTGTTCATTTCAGCTCTAACACTGGTAACATGCACATCAATAAGGGCACCATTGTAACCGTGTGTAAGTGCACATCTGGGCCCCTGAGCATATCCACACTGGTACGTGGCCTCACTGCTGTCCACCCCTAGAACTGCCACCTTCCCAACCTGAAACCACACCTGCGCAGCAATTCTTTGTCCCACCACCCTGCTTTCTGTCTGCAGGAATCTGAATTCTCTAGGGATCTCACAGATGTGGAGTCACACAGAACCTGTTCTTTTGTGTCCAGCTTGTTTCAGGGTCATCCATGTCACCCTTCACTGCTCACAGTGATACTCAGTGGCCTTCCTGGAGGAACAAAACATGACAAGTGTGCAAACACCAAGTGGCAAATGCAATCAAGGATTCCATGCCCCATCTCATGGCATCCCCAGGCTCGTGCCCTGTAGCCCTGAGCCACACATAGGCCAGAGGTGCACGTGGCCTCCAAAAGAAAACAGGCTCAGAGGGCTGGTGACAGGCAGACACTCAATGCCTGGTTTGGGAATTCTTTGGGGAGATTGCAGGTGGAGGTTTTTTGAGAGACAAACAGAAAGCAAAACTCCAGGAGCCTCCTGGCCTCCGACAGTGCCATGGGTGCCTTTACAGTGTGAGAACTTTCGCAAGGGCTGTCAGCCATCCCAGCTTTCTTCTCAGGAAAATTCTAGTGGAAAATGTGACTTTGATGAAACCTCTTTTATTTCAAGGCTCTTTGTAAAAATTGATGTCTCAAGCCAAGTGTGATGATGCATGCCTGTAATCCCAGAATTCAGGAGGCTGATGCAGGAGGATCACCATGAGTTCAAAGCCAGCCTGGGTTATATATTGAGTTCTAGGCTGGCTTGAATCACATAGTGAGACTCTGTCTCAAAACAATAAAAATAAGAATTTGGGGCTTAAAAAGCAATCTGGACAGAACTGTTGCCATTTCAGTTGGTCTCATTCCAAAGTGTCTTGCTTCCGGGTTTCCAGAAATTTGGTGTTTTGAAACTCTAGGGTACAGACTTGCACAGTAGGTTTTCAAGTATCAACTATCGAGTTCAAAGTAGGCCGGTTTTGAAAGTGGTTTCTAAAAGGTTTGGTTGAAAAATATTTTTGTTCTAAGATGTTCCAGAAATGTCTCCCAAAGCTGAGAGCCACTGCCCAGGCAGAGGGTGTTCCCCATGCGCTCGTGCTCCTCAGGGAGCTGAGGACACAGCTCGTGGCAACGTGTTTTTCCTTTCAGAAGCCCATTCATGGGGGGACATTTCCTCTCCTATCCTTCTCTCCAAGGGCATTCTGCAGAAGGTGCTCACCCCTGGAAGGCTGCTGCTCTCCCCTAGACCCCATTCATTGTGACCTCAGCCCACACACTGTGTCCCTGAGCATAGAAACATCCCTTCAGGACAGTGTCATTCAGGACCAGATAAGAAAGGGCTGCCTGCTTGGGAAAAGGCTTGTATGATGGAAACACAGGACAATAGAAGGTTCTGTAAAAGTCATGAGCTTATGGTTATGAGACCCAGAAGTACAACAGAAGTGAACATCAGAGAGGCCTCTCTGAGGCTCCTCAATGAAAATTGAAGCCCACTGGGAAAGTGAAGAAAATCTCTTGAATAAAGGCACCACGGTGATTGGTAAGTTGGTGGGATCAGCTCCTCCCATAGAAACCCAGACTCGCTCAGGGTGGAGGACAGCTGGAAGCTGCAGTAGAACCTTGTAGATTTCAATCCTGCAGGAGGTCAGGGACCTCAGCTTGGGCCTTGCAGCCAGAATCAGCCTGAATTTCAGTAGACTGCAGATAGCTTGCTGAGACTAATCAACTTAGACCTACACACTGCTGCCCATGTGGTCTACCGGGACAGCAGAGACGTCCTGAGGGAGGCCCTTTTTCTTTCTTTTTTTAATATATATTTTTTCTTTTATTTTTCTTCTCTCCCTCTCTCTCCCTCTCTCTCCCTCTCTCTCTCCTTCTCTCTCTCCCTCTCTCTCCCGCTCTCTCTCTCTCTCTCTCTCTCTCCCTCTCTCCCTTCTTGCTCTGCATTTCTCTCCTTCTTTGTTCCTGTTCCTCTCCCATTTCAAATTGTTTCTCTTTCTCTGTCTTCTCTACTGTCACTGTGTGTGTGTGTGTGTGTGTGTGTGTGTGTGTGTGTGTGTGTGTGTGCGCGCGCGCACCAGGGATCAAACTTGAGTCCTTGCGCTTGTGAGACAGGCAGCAGAACCACCGAGCTAAATCCCTGTGCCATCTACTGTCACTATTCTTATAGGAAGGTGAATGCAGTTTCTAACTTCCCTATTGCTGTCAGTTTGTTCCGTTCTTGTCTCTTTCCTTTCATTTTGTCTTTTCCTCCTGTCTTCAACAGTTTCCCACAATTTGTGTGATCTTCCCATGTCCTCTAGCCTCACTTCTAACCTTTTCCTCTCCTTCTATCTTTCTGTCCTTCCCTTCCCAACCCCTTCTAAATCATTATCCCAAAGGATAAATTTGCTATATTGAAGGGTTTATTTACTACAAACATATATTGGGCTAGCCCTAGATTTGGATCTAGCTTGCACCAGTTACAGGTGACAGATTAACTGCTACCACAAATTGTCATTTTCTAAACTGTGTTTGATGCTATCATTGATGCTGATTGTGTCAACTGGGCTAAGGCATCGTGATTGATCTAATCAATTGTCCTCACAAGAGTCATTAGAGATTCAAAGCCTAAAAAGACCAGCTATACCTGGAAGATATCTCTGAGAAGCAAACATTCCATAAGGGCTCTAAACACAAGTAATAAAGATACAATAAGAATTATTGAAACATCAGCCCAGGAAATAAAGCAAAAAACAGCACCAACAAAAATATTAGAAATGAAAAAATACCTTAGCAAGGACAACCCCAGACTTCCAGCTCACCAAAGGCAAATTCTGTGGAAAATGAGGTGGAAAAATCTGATAACCAACCACTGAACATCCTGAACTGAGCACAGGAAGTAATAAAACAGATGAATGAGGCTCTAGAAAAATTCAAAACAGAAATAATTTCCCAGATAACTACAGAGATAGTGAGCAGAATGAAATATATGATTAGAGGCTCTAGAACAGAAACATATTAAAAAATATGTGGGCTCAGGACCATGCTGGAAGCCATGAATACCCAGCATAGGAAAGATGGAATCCATGAAACAGATTCAAACAGATCTCAGGAGATTAAAAACTCCATTAAAAGTATTCACAGCACATTGAGTGAATGTGAAGATATAGGAGACAGGATTGCAGTTAGTGTTCATGAAAAGAGACATTTCCTACAGGGACAAGGGGAAAAAATGAGAACCAAGACCTGTCCTGTAAAGGTACAAGATCCCAATAATGAATGTAACTACTGTATACCTAAAATGTACCAATAAACTCAATGAGGAAAAAAAAAGACATTTCTTAAAAATAGTAAGTAAGGGACCACAAGAAATCCATCCAGCAGCTCCTTGATGATGCAAAGAAGAATAATATAAGACTGAAAAAGTTGGGCTTCACATAGAGCATTGGTCCCATTTTCTAGATGGAGAAATTGAGACCCAGGCTGTGATGACCTGCTGAGGCCAGATATCCTGGTCCCCAAAGTTTTGAAGGCACCACACAGGAGCGCCACCCACTACTGAGGCAGCAGGCCTAGGACTTATCCAGCTGTCCCCCACAGACTATGCACTGGCCCAGGCAAGCTCTGCCTCCTGGAAGAGCCAGCAGAAAGAGCAGACAGGGCTGGGAGGGCCAGCTGCCCTGTACCATGGCCCACTGATGATGGAAAAATGTAGTTGGCAGATAGGGCAGATAGCTGGAAGCAGCCTGGGGAGTGGTGTGGATGCCAATGTTGGCCAGATTGATAGAGAGGCCCTGGGCAGAAATAGGAGAAAAGAAAAGTCCAGTGCTTAGGAAAAATAGACACAGCCCAGGGTGTGGCCAGGCTTTAACCCCACCGCCTGGAGAGTAGCCCTGCCCTGGCCAGCCACACAGGCCTAGTATAAAAAGAGTGATAAGATGGAGGCTCTTGGGCAGCAGCCATGGAGATTGGGCAGGACTGTGTCTCAGCTCATCCGCCTCCATGCTAACCAGGCCTGGGCCCTTGAGCTCCCTCTGCCGCTTAGGAGCCTCTAGAGCCCCAGCACCAGAGAGATGTCCTTTCTAATGTGTCGACCCAGGACTGGTCTCAAGGGACAGAGCTCAGAGGTATCATTAGAGGAGGAAGTCTAGGCCCAGATTGCCCAGTGCGGAGCTACAGGCACAATCAGGGGCCTCCCGTCTTCATATGCTGGTGGGAAACTGGAAGGAGTCAGGCTGCAACTGCATTTAACCAGGCACCTTCTGGCAGGACTAGTTCATGCATGGCTGACCTGGAGCCATGCCTTGCACTGCATAGAGGAGAAACAGAACTCAGAGTTAATCTGCTGAGAGAACCAGGTGTGTGGACTTTGGAGCTCCTGGAGGCTTCCACCCAGGGCTTCCAGATGGCACCCTGGGGCCTCTGAACCTGGCAGTCCAGGCCACCACTGGGGAGCTACCTCCCCAGCCCCAGCAGCTCCTGGAGGCTTGGCTGGAGCTCCTCATAATGAGCTATGAAGGCCCTGAACACTAGCCACAGTGCCCAGTAGAGCTTTGAGAAATACCATGCCAAATACCATGGTAAATGTGGAGGATGAGAGCAAAGTTGGCAGGCTGGTACCCATGGGGCAAGTTCTTTCTGCCACTGCTGGAGCCTACACCAGCCCCTTCCTTCATGACGCTGACCTGGCCCCCCAGGCAGTGGCTGACCACTTGCACAGGCTAGGACCCCCACTCTGGGCCACAAACTTTGCCCAGGTCACAGAGAAGGCTGGTGACAGCACAGGGCCCTTCCTGCCCCACTGCTGCCCTGGTGGTCCTGGTAGGCTTGTCCTGAGCATGGGCGCTCTGGTGGTGACAGCTAGTGAGCAATCTTCCAGGGGAAGATTGGCAGCAGCTTCCTAAAAATAAGAGGCCACTCGATTCTGACCCCCCCCCACACACTGGGCCTGTGATCCAGCCCCATCCAAATCCCCCACTACACATGCACTCTATCCACCAAACCAGGATGGCAGCCACCTCCTATGTCTCTCCCACCCACTCCAATCACCACCCTCAGCCCCTGCCTTCACTTCCTGCAGAATTTTGAGATGCCCAGCTGAGATGGATAGACAGAGCTCTCCAGACTTCCCAGCAGGGTTTCCAGTTCTGAGTCCCAGCTGAGAAGATGTGAAAATCTGCTCTGCAGACCTGGTCTTGGCTTGGCCGGAAATGTGCTGGCTCATCCCAGTGCCTCAGGTGACAAAGTTGGCCACCCCCACAGGTTCACGTTCAGGCATTTCCCCAGGGGTTGTGCACACTGTGGTACATGTGTAGGTGTGTGCATGCATGTGGCAGCCATCAGTGCAGGAAAAGGAACACCCTGGCATCCCTGGGGCTTCTACTCGTTGTGACCAGGGAGGCAGGAAGGAGGAGGCCAGCCAAGGTTCTTTTCCCCAGGGCTTGGGAGGCCCTGGCTTGGTTCTGCTCCCCCATCACTCCCATCCCAGGGACAGAGATCTCTGAGGTCTTTGTCCTACAGAATCCTGAAGAATTCTCTCCCTATAGCCAGGCATGATGGTGTCTGCCTATAATACCAGCCATTCTTGGGTGGCTGAAGCAGGAGGATCACAAGTTTGAGGCCACTGTAGGCAGCAGCCTAAGACCGTATCTCAAATAAAAATTTACAAAGTGCTGCTGTGGTAGAGTACAGCAATCAATCAATCAATCAATAATAAATAAATAGGCCTCTCTCTCCCTAGAACAGAGGAAAGTGCCTTTCCACCTATCTTCAACAGTTTTTGTGGTCCATGAAGCCCACTGCCTTGGGGGAATGACAGAAGGACCCGGAGTTGTGGAGGGCAGGGCCGGCCTCCAGTGACTTCCAGGGAGGCCAGAACAGGTGCCTTGAGCTGTGGCACTGCTGAGCAGCTTCCGGCTGTCAAGGCCCAGTAAGGGCACAGCCTCTCCGTCTCTAGAGGTCTACCCTGCTCGCCCAAGAAGGAAGATCTTCCAGGAAACACACAGGCCTTCTGCGAGCCTTCTGAGGAGGGCATTGGCACATGACAGCACAGAGTGTGGGAGGAGGGTCCTAGTGACACCTGGTGGGGCCCAGGGAGCCCAGTGCTGTCTCACCTGGCTGTGGCCCAGCACTGTCTTACCTGGGTGGCCTCTGGATGTGGTCTCTGCAGCAAGCTTCTACCTGTGTCCAGCTCTCCTTTTGCTAGACCATGGGGCCCTTAACACCTCCTTAGCCCTTCCAGGCCTCAGGGGACTCTGCCTCAGCTCAGCAGGGGATAGGAGGGACCTTCCACCTGGTCCACTGCAGTTCTAGAGCTCCCATGGGAATCTGGGTCATCTTATCCTCACCACAGGAGGGAAAGAGGAATGTGGACCTGGGCCCCAGACGCAGAGGGATGTGGACACGAGGTCCTGACAGGCTGGGTGGACCTTTTCCTGTCAGGAAGGGTGACCCCTCTGGGGACAAACCCATGAGGCTCAGCCCAAAGGATGGGAGAGGGGTTGGTCTGTCTTTGTGTCCCACGTGGAGAGTCCTCCACCCCTGACAGCCTTCCTGGGGTCCCTTCCGTGAATGCCCCAATGCCAAGATCTTGATCAGACCTGAGCCACAGAGGGGTTTTGCTTGGCTTTAAAATGTTTTAAAGTCAAGCAATTTCATATTAAAATTGAGATTTCCAGTTCTTC